CATCACAATTCTAAAGAATAGCAGTCTTCATTTCAGAATTTGAGGAAGATATCTGCGAAGGTTCATTTTGTTCGTACGAATTCCAAACGATAGGGTCTAAATTCCCATTCAGTAATGAAACAAGAACCATTAAACTCACAATGTACCATAGTTGACGCTGATTGATTCGTGATGATTTAGTTTTAAGGACATCCGTCCTAAATTCACTACTGATCGGCACTAGCTCTTACAGAATTTATCCAGAATTATAGGACCTCACGGGAACAGATTTAGCTGAGGCATATGTCAAGATGTTCATTTGATCGGTAACTGTGTAGAATTCTGCCTTACGAGGGCGATGGGCCTCAACTAGCACAGTTAGTACCGCTCTCCTGCGGGTGCCTTAGCTTCAAGAGGAATCCTCTGAACTTCATCACTGTAGTTTGCTACCCATGACAGAAACCAGTGAACAGTACATAACAGCAACAGGAACTAATTTCTCGATCCTGAAGACAATACTCGCGTATTTGATGTTCAAATGAGGTAGTTGTCAGCTGAAAAGTTGAAAAATATAACATTACAGTCCAAAAAGCAAGAAGCGGTTGAAGGATTGCTGGTGAAATGGCTAAAACAAAAAAATGAACATGAGATTGCTAATACGGCTAACAACATCATGGAGTTGCTTCAGAACAACAAATCGGTTCATCCTGCAAACCTTTTTGAATGTCTCCCTTAAACTTTTCAGTAGGGTTACAAGCGTGCTGTACGAACACATCTGAATAAGTTGCGTGATTTTTGACCCAATGGTTCGGCAATTTCAACTAGATATCTTCAGACGCGGAATATTAAAAAAGCAGACTAATGGAACCCATCCAGCTAGCCTGAATATACAAATCGTCAGCTCTCTACGCACTAAGCTGGTCCACCAAGTTATTATTTGGTCCTCTGGATAGTGATAACGCTTAGGGAAATTTGTACATCACCGTCTGTGTGCTGTCAACCGTCGTATTCACATGGCAGATCAGTAAAGGTCCTTAATTCGACTGATATGCGAATATATACGCGACAAATTGGTTACCGAACGTAAGAATCGCTCGACACAAAAGACACCACCGAATGTGTCCCATCCTTAAACATTAGAAAAAAGTATTAGGGAAAAAACTCGTCCGCAGCTGCGTGTGAATGTGGTCTATTCCCTGGTGACTTTTCGAGTGTTTTCTTGTCAACAGTCTGGAAAGCCGTTGGACTTCACCGGTCAAATGAGAGGCCATTTGTTTTCGAACGTCGTCGATGTTTCTTCAGAGTGCTGAGAAGTTTTTGGCAAGCTGCACTGTAGTTCCGAAGCTTCTGGTGACAAATAATGATCTGGTTATATGATCCGTGATTTTGCCCACTTTTTGGATTCTCAAATAAATAGACCACATTCACACGCAGATGCGGACGAGTTTTTTCAATCCCGGTATAAGAGGCGGGCAAGAAAATTCACTTGATAACTTTCATTTTGACAGTCCCATGAGCCCATTTGTGAAACCGTTTCTGTGTTTGATGCCATAAATGGCGTCGCCTAGGATGACGGCCACCCGACAACTAGACATTCATACAAGATCTTTAAGGTAATTTCGCGAAGTAACAACTGTTTACATTCACTCAATATTTCCATAAACCGTTCGTTTTGAACATTTCAACTAACCACATGCGGCAGAGTGTTATACGCAGTTTTCTCAACAATCGCCTATGCAGAAGTAGTAACACGCTGAAAGGATTGGTGAAGAATTGTTGGATCTTGCTGCGGGTAAAACTGCTGCATTGATTGCCCCTTCCGTGCTGATATTTTGATAAGGCGATTAATAGCATGGAATTGAATTCGTTTACATTGTATGACAAATAGAATCTTGGCGGTGCGGCACTGCTATTCTCCTTTTCAAGGCAGAGATAAGAGCTACCGCTTTCCTCTCAATGTGGCTGTAATTTTTTCTGTTAACGAGAGAAATCGTGATGCGGAGAAAACAAACCTTTTTGTACCACTGATGTTGTAGGACCGTATGAATGCCGTGTTCTGGAAAATCGGCTACCACGGTGGTCAAAAGTTCAGTGTTTTAATTAAAACACATTTGATCCTAAAAAAATCTCGTTTGACATGAATGTTCCCAGGTCCATTGAGACGAGAGGTATTTTATTCAGAATAGGCAGCAGATGGGCCTGGGTCTCAGTGATGTTCTGAGTTGGTTTTAATACCTANTCCTAAAAAAATCTCGTTTGACATGAATGTTCCCAGGTCCATTGAGACGAGAGGTATTTTATTCAGAATAGGCAGCAGATGGGCCTGGGTCTCAGTGATGTTCTGAGTTGGTTTTAATACCTATCTATACAACAGAGCGTCGTTACGTGAATTTCTTTGAGGTGATTCTTCTATGGGTTACCGGAGAGCTACGATAACATATTTTTTGCATGCAAACGAGGCACTTAAATATCATTACAAACTGTAGTTAGTGACTGTTAGGCATGAACTAGTAATGACGCTAATCGTTTCAGGAAGTTCAAGCACCTCCTGCCACACAAAGACGCTTCGTTCGATGTTTAGAATGTTTTAATATAGACCATATATAGTCAGATGTCATCCAAATCTTGGGTGTTTGCGCGTGATTAACTTTGGTACTGGATCGTCTATTCCCACGAAGGTTTGGGCCATGTATGTTGACTTACACAAACACCAGTCAGCAGTCAAAAAGTAGCCGAAGTTCTCATGGTTGGGTTACGCGCATATAAGTACTGACAGGAAGTCTGGTGCAGCCGTTTACCATCTGTACATTCGTGCACCGAGAGGACACTCCCCAAAAGCCCCTCACTAGTGATAATATTTTTTAGATAGTTCGATACCAATGTGCATGCACGCCGTAATCCTTGAATGGTCCAATGGAGCAAGCCCACATCTACGTGTAGGACAAAACAGGAAAGTGTACGACAACCCTACTTGAACAAGCTGGCTCACTGTCACTGGAAAGCTATAATTGCAGCAGACTGACAAAAAGGTAGTGTAATTCGGTGTAAGCAAGTTATGTTTTGTTTTGATTCCTCGACTGGTGATATCGTGTCCGTACCTGGGCAAAAATTTCACTTTTTGGCACCCACTACTCTGCGAATCTTCATACAAGCTGTGATTTATGTTGAAAGATGGAAAGATATGTCAAACGATTTTGTACTCTACCGATGCAAACAAGAAGATAGAACGATCCTATTATGGCGTTTCCTCTTTCAATCATCCTAACGATTTAATTTTCTGTTCGACTGTATATGGTGAAATTTCAGTCGGGGTCATCGGGCACCTACCACCAGTTCAGCAAAAATTGAACTGTTGTGGAATATTTCAGGGAATGACGTATTTAGTATCAGCAAATTTCCGAGGTACTGTGCCAGGCTGGCACGCAGGATCCACATGCGCTATGGAGACTGAATGAATCCCACGCCGAGAACATTCAGTAAAGGCAATGACCTGGAGATACACGCTTCTTTGATTAAGGCACAGGCAACACACAAGCAATGTAAGGGCGATCCCATAGTGGAATACTTATTCCCAGTGAACACGATGACTACAGGTACCAGCTGGGAAGCGTGTCGTCGCTCACAAACAGCGATTCCATCACATTTGCTCGAATTCGCCTAACTGAGTTACTAGATGTCTAGGAACGAGACGGTTGGACCCCATCAATCATCCCGCCCATTGCTTCGATTGTCATTCTGGAAGCTGGTCTGATCACAGTTACTAAGTTAGTTAGTCACCATTACATCGAGAAGAATCGGCGGGATTGGTTTGACGATAACAAAGCAGAATGCATATCTGATCCCAAATACCACTGCCAGCTACACCAATCTGGCCGTTCGGGCAAATCGATTGAGCTGAAGCACGCATACTCACTGTCCCCGTTTTGTCCAGAACAGCTACACGCTCTCCACCCATATGGACGTACACATGTTGCTATTGTGCGCACGGACCAACGAGATATCGATCCAGTAGTTAAATGACCCAGTTGATGTACGTTTCACGATGTATGTCTGATATAGCGAATGCATGCTCCCTTGTCTAGTTTTGTCTGAAATAGCCGACTGGTAAACATACCTGATTTGTGACCGACACTTTAATACTGTTCGGCCGATTCGGTGTGGTTTAGGTCGACCGGTGTTGTTGTACGATCATGTCTTGGATTTTGGTCCCAGTGTTCTCTCCACACTCGCGCGAGTGACTTGTGTAAACGAAGCTCGGCAAGAAAGCAGTTGAGCTTCATCCGATTGATTCGTTCTACATGACAGGCACCGATCAGTGAAGCGGGCGTGTTGGCGGTGCGATTGACTTTCCTGTTGTTAAATTTTGGTTCTTCAATTGACAGCGAAGCCCCGATAATTCGGTTTAAGCATTAAACGGTCTTGTTTTGACGCCAGCGATCCCTACGGTGAAATCGCTCGAACCGTTACAGTAATGCGGAGTACAATTACAATGGAAAAATATATTTCAAATAAAGTCACTGAATATGCAAATCAATAAAACCGTGAGGGTAAGGGAGATTACGCGTTCTACTTGGAAATTAGTTCATCTGTTGCACAAGAATGGATACATAGAGCCTGTCAAATGTTTCCTTAAGCCATCACTATCATCATCATCAACATCAACATCGTCATCATCATCATCATCATCATCATCAACAGCAACACTAGATGAGGACACTAGTGCTTCACTGCCGTCAAGTAGCAATGGGTATAACTGATTTTCCACTCAGTATCTCTGAATCCAGTCAGTTAGTGAACTGCCCCAGCACGCACAAAACTATACTACTGATTGAGAGGGGGACAACAGTGCTTTTTCATAAAAAAAAGACTAGATACCCTCAGGCGGAAATATTGCTTACTAATCTACTATTATTCCAAAAGTCAAGCCTCTCAGGCAAACAAAAAGCGCTATATTCCTTACCGATCGTTTTAAAAAATAGAAAACGGTGACTTTCATAATTGTATTATGTCGTCGAAATAGAAACCAACCTATTAGAAGCCAAGTAAGGTTGACGTTGAACCAAAAGCGGACATGATTTTTCAGCAGAAAGCCGACCAATTTGAGCTGACGCTGGCTCAAACTGAGTGCTATTGTTGTAAAGTTTGGAGTCTGTGGTCCACAAAAAAGATGCCGACAACACCGAACACAGGAAGCGCTTTGACGGAGCATTATTGATGCTTTCACCTCTTGTATTGCTTCCAAGTTGAGTTATCACAGGTGGATGGTGTCATCACTCGCTGCTTGCATCCGCCAACTTGTTGAAGTTTGTTCAGATTCTATGAGAACTACACTCATCTTTCTGTTACGACGACCGATATCGATTGCCTCCTGTTTGATCGAATCCTAAATTTTGGCTTTATTCCTATCTGTCTGTAGCGCGGATAAGCGATAAGCACACCGCTATTCAGTAATGTTAACAACAGAAGCAGAAACCCAAGACTTAATAGAAAGTATAGATCTTTGAATTCGTCAAACCGGAGAGATCACAAATAACACTGTAGCCAAAGCAAATCAGAATGAATCAGTTGAAAATTTGGAGATTAGAAATTGCGGATTGTTCTCCAGAATGGTGTTTAGATAAACCCTTGAAGGAATGTAACACATTCGACTATTGAACTACATGTCCCACTCAGGATGACCACTCCGTACGGTAGCTGCAATACGTGCTTTGGTTTGAGCAGAAGTTCGGACCTGTGCCACAAATGGAAGCTTCCGCATACGAAGCAGGTAGTCCAACAAAACAGGCCATTGTTTACCCTTTGGATCGTTGGGTTTGAATTCTTCCACTTCGGACGAGTCGGTGCCCTCAAGGACGGATATGGGTATCTCCAGACGGTCCACAAATGGAAACATCACAAGATCGGCCAAAGAAAGATTGGGACCTGAATAAGGACGATTCGATTAAGTCAGTCATAAGTACGTCTAGTAACTGAAAAAAGCTCTGAAAAACGAAAAAAATTACAGCTTACCGGTCAGGTATGTACCTTTAATGGCACTGTTGATCTTGAGACAGGCGTTTAGGATAGCTTGTTCAGCTTCCTTCCCGGTATGGCCGCGAGAAGTCACGGAATGGATGGAACCACCGAGCTGCAAAAAGGAAAAAGCCAAAGGGTTCCTCACATCACGGAAATTCACTTGGTTGTGAGTATAACCTCACAGAATAGATTCTCACGCATCGTTTACTAATCTCAGCTAATAAGCAGCTTGATATTTTCACGCTCATTTCGGCTTCTAAGTTCTGGACTTTGTTCTCATGTCACACTGTGTGTTCAAGGAATGTTGGAAGAGAAGCGGCCGCGGAACACGGTGTAATTATTTACTGTTATTAAGGAGTACAATTGAGATGATTCGTGCATCAGTTATGTAGTAAAGGGGATACCTGTATAGTGTACTGATGCAGCAAAGAAACAGAACTCCCACAGATTCCACCTTCCATCCAACATAACAAAGTTTGTTCCTCGAGAAAAACACTCATTTGCAAATCAGTTTGGTTTTCATGAGAGACTGAACTGAATCTCTCATTTATGATATTCTACAACTGAATGTGCTGCACACAGGCCGCCTCATCATTCAGTCGGTACGATATTCGAGATATTGTGGTATATTTTCATAAAAGAAACTACTCACAAGGTTGCTGAAAACTCTTCGACGGCTCACGACCCTTTTCGCCCTTCTTGGGGCTCATCAGGTAGGCGAAGTCCCCGAGTTTCTGTCAACTTTATGTCCTACTTGAACCTAAATTGGTCCGTTTTCGAATAATACACTCATTTGCAAATCAATTTGGTTTTCACGAGAGACTCAACTGGTTCGGGGACTGCGCCTACCTGATGAGCCCCAAGAAGGGCGAAACCGGTCGTGGGCTGTCGAAAAGTTTTCAGCAACCTTGTAAGTAGTTTCCTTGATGAAAGTTTGTTCCTCTCTAGAACACACAATATTGTATTTATTATTTGAAGGATGATCTTCATGACAGTGATGCTTTATTTTTTGCGGTCACACGTTTTATACGTTTACCATTAGTTTTGTTTGCGTGTTTAAATAACCATTGCGAGGGTGCTCCGGGTTAGATTACTACACATATGGTAGGAGAGCCAGATGTTCATTACTTTTTATACGTTTTTGACGAGGACAGACTGGCAAACATATTGGATATGTCCACTGGTCCTCATAACAATGAGGGGTTTTTATCATCCAGCAACCCTCTAATTAAAAAAAAACGAAGCAAGACAGTATCTCACAAACATACGTTCCAAATTGGTCCGGGAATTACGGATGACATTTTGAGCAGAGTAGCTATCTAATTATTATGAGTTGTTCCATCCTACTTTTCAGGCGTGCTGCCAGTTGTCAGTATTTTAGTTGTGACATCTTCCATTAATGGTACCGTGGAGGTATCGTAGGTTGAACCACGACCAAACCATTTCAGAAAGGCCTTATTATGTGTGGTGCTCATTTTATCAAGCGTGGCAGCCGATCACAAAAACAATGGTCTGTTCCAGTGGGTCTGTCAACGGGTCTGTTCCAATGGGCCTGTTCCAGTGTGGTTTATGGTCTTTGACAGTGGACCGACCATTCAGGAAGTGATCCATTTGCCTGCTCTTCAGCTTGAGAAATTGCTTTCGTTGAACGGAGGGATGCGATAGAGAACAATCACGTGCCACCAAAACTGCTTCTTTGACGGGGTGTTTCCTCATGAGGGGGGATTCCACATAAACATACAGGACTTGAACACATGATGTCGGAGCCACTACGGGTGTGGAATGATGAACTGAGGGCCACGCTGCGATAACCCAATCAAAAGGATTCCCAAGTGTCACACCTTACCCCATGACCCCCAGAAACCATTAGTAAAGGAGTGGAAAGGGCTAAAGAAACATCACTGTGATCACATTTCAAAGGCAGCGTTTTCACCTTCTGTTCGTCAATGTAGGTTTCAGCGCAAAACAAAAGTAACAAAAACGTGTCAAATTTGTTAGGGCTTGCTTAATTGCCGGGTTCATGATGTCTTCTGCAAGAAAGCCTAATACAAAAGGAGAAACAGACCATCTTTGATGGATTCGTTCGTTGGTTGTGCATCCGGAGTAGTGCCATTTATGGAAACGAAGTCTACTGCTAGAATCTTCAAAAAATACCCACCGATTCCCTCAGATCGCTATTCCGAAACTGCCTGTTTTTGATCTATTCATGGTTCTAATATGAGTCAACAACATGGGCTCTGCAGACACGCTTAATGTCCTGTCATCTAAGGATTTCTGATCACATTAAATTGATTTCTAGCAAACTTATCCGCAGCGGAATAGTCGGGATCGGAACTCGAAAAACCTTGCTTTAATCAATTCGAACAGTTCAATAATACCAACGTAGTTGAGAGACGTTAGAATTCTTGACGTTCGTAGTGCAAGTCACAGTTACTTAAAACGGAAAGACAGTGGTCATGAGTGCTCTTAAATGGGTTCCAGCAGGCTTGATATTTATCATCGTGACGATGAGTGACGAGCGTGGCCTTGAAGACCGATCAGCATAGTTTTCAGACCCATCACACCTCGTGAGTGCTCGAAAAGTTAAGGCAAGTTCAACTGAATGTTTAGTTCAATCACATATCGCGTTTCACAGGAAATGACCTGATCGCACAGTGCCGTGAGTCTCACTTCGGACTGTGCAGAATTCAGATCACGTAGCAAGAAGTTAAATATGCTTCAGTGTTTTCAGTGCTTTCACGTCTTCTATCAGGCCTGTTAGTGAAAGTTTCACCGAAACCAAAGGTGAAGCCGCACACAATGTGGCTTACCAATTAAACTGATAATGACGACTCGCGGTTCTCATGTGTTGTTGGTATGCAGTTGTTGCGTCGCATTATAGTACTCACGCTGACCCCGTCTGATTGGCTGTTGATCACAGGGATGCACCAATCAGAAGACACGGTAGTAGACCCAAATGTCGCTGCATTTGACTCGGCAACCGAAACGTCGGATTACAACAACCTACTCCACTATGCTGTGTCTTGACTTTATAATTAAAAAAACTCACTAGCAATGATTTGCTTCATTTTCTTACTCTCTTGTCTTATTGAAATGTGTGTTAACGGGCATCAACCGTTGAAACAATTAACATTAAAATGACGAAATATCTAGCAATTCGAAATCAGTTAGGACTCTGGATGCCCCTGCCCTCTTTTTATATCATACATTTACCAATCCACATTTCAACTGACATGCATATACTGTTTCTGTGCAACTCGTAAAACCCACTTGGTATACAATACCATTGTGTATCTACTCTGTTCTATGGTCATCAAATCAACTTTTTCACGTGACCAGTTGGTTTGTGGCCTTCTGAGACATTTTGACATATATTACCCCCAAGTAGGTCTGCTTACCTTTTCGATATTGATTTTACCGTCACTTCACCATGGAGTTATGAGGAAGTTCCGTAATCATCTACTGGTTTGACGTACGCAGCCATTTTGTACTGCGGTCTATCTTTGCTTCCCCAAATAAAACTCAGAGGTGTCGAACTGAGTGAATGAATGAGTGATTTTTGTGGTTTTTGTAGGTCTTCATCCGAAACAAACAAGTTTAGGACTTCGCTCATGCTCCCGTTTGTTAATTCGTCCAAGAATGTTGGCTGTTTATTCTTCGGCCACTGTAAACCTACTACTAACTTGTACTTCGTCGTGAAAGAATTGCCCTCAGAATTCGGAGTGCGCTGGAATGTCTGCACCCCTGTTTTGATGGATGGTCATATCCGCTGATCAAATTGTCTACCAGAGTGTCAGGAAATTGGACATCTGCCTAGAGTTCATCATATCCGCTGATCAAATTGTCTACCAGATTTGAAGCAAGTATTCATGCGCCCACTACTCTTTCTTGAGGAAGCGCCGTTACCGACGTCCGACGAATGCAAGATTTCACCCTCTAGCCTGGATTCGTTGACAGCAAGTCAGCTAGGTTGAGGTTATCTTCCTCGTTCTATGCCCCCGGTAGTCCACGAAATTTAATTTTTTTTCATCCGCTTCCACTTACTTATGATTTCCATTGATTGTTTCTAGTTCTGCTTCTAATGATAAGTTTGCTGTGCCGACTAGTTTTGAAGTGGGCCGTGATCGACCGGTCGACGTGTGCTTCTCGATGATATCCATTCTGCCTATCACCACTGTGAAGAGGGTCCATTAGTGACCTTCGTGCAAGCGACTAACATACTTTCCTGATTCATCGAGTGAGAACTACTCACCCCCGTCTTCATATCGTAGTTCACCTGTTACGTCGCCGCTAGTCTCAAACTGGCCAGGAGCAAATGGTGGCATTCAGAAGTGATGATTCAGTCTCGAATTTTCTTGTCACCACGTCTCTGGGTTAAGAGATTGTGGCTCACCCGCGTTCTTTTTTCTCCTACAAGAATGGCGCGCAAACATCCCTTCGATCTTTGTTTAATTCAATGAAACAAACCTATTCTCACCGGAACAAATCAGCGTTCAGTTGTGTTTTAGTTCCAGTTCTGTCCAGCCACACTTTTCTGTTTAGATCTTGTTGGTAGTGTGAGGAGATTTGGGATTTTTGTGGAGATTTCGTCCTGTAAGTGAAGCCAATCTATGCTGAGAAGCCGAGAAGCACTGTACAACTGTTTCATCCTTATTGGGAATCATCAGCACTGCGCATCTCACGAGACTCCTCTGAGTTTCGTGTTATGTCTTTTTATATCACGTCTTATGCACCAAGGTGCACTAAAGCTGTACTACACACGGCTTCACTCAAAATGTGTCATGCGTTACCCTGCTTGGGATTGTACTGAATTCAGACAGAAGTTATATCTCAGAAGAAGTATTCTATCGATTCGCATGGCCCGATCTGTGTGCACGGTACGCTGTAGAAACCCAAACCTATGTTTCCACACTCAGCAATGTCTCTGTCTCGAACATATACCCACTTTTGTCTGACGCGTTCTACTGATTACCGCTGTAGCTACAGTCTCACCAGTAACACCCATGAATGTTAGGCATTTGGATGCAGAATTTGAGGCTGTTCAGTCCCTAACCTTTGTTATCTTTTACGGAGACATATGGACTTCTAGAATGCATTATCACAGGTGAATACCCAAACCTCAGTCATCGAGCGAACTAAGTGAGCAGAAGGTATGTAATTAAAGGTTTTTTTAAACGTGGCGTTCTTGCTAACAGCAATAGCCTTATACATCACCGAATGAGGAAAACAAAGCAAATTGTATAAGACCTGGTGATAGACGCAGTTGAAATCTAGATTAGCCTGCACAAAGAGTATTCTGTTCTGAACCAGCTCAACACTAGTCTTTCTGGTACGTTATGCCTGTGATGATACCGGATGTGATCTTCTGCAACTGCCGCAATTCGGACCACGCTGTATAATATTTCGCCGTAACCAGCTACTTACATTTGATAATGGTTGACTGAAGGGTGGTGTGTGCAACCAGCCCATCGGCTCCAAAGTGGACGAATTTTCAGCAACCTCATGAGTAGTGCATTACAAATAAACATGTATCGCGATATCTCAAATATCGTAGCGACCGAAACATGAGGCGACCTGGTACAACACATTCAGTTGCCCGGATACATCACAAGAGAGATTCAGTTCCAGGTGAGTTTCTTGCAAAACCGAAACTGTTTGCAAATGAGTGTATTTCGCTAGCTCCAAAGTTGTTTTTCCTTACCTTATTTGGAAATTGTAGTCTGTCGCTCACACATGCTGTAGGGCTGCAGACTGTTATGTCTTTTTATATCACGTCTTATGCACCAAGGTGTACTAAAGCTGTACTACACACGGCTTCACTCAAAATGGTATGTGTCATGTGTTACCCTGCTTGGGATTGTACTGAATTCAGACGGAAGTTATATCTCAGAAGTACCAGTATTCTATCGACTAGTTCTAGTACCACACAAAGTTCTCGTATAACGACAAGGCATCCGTTGAACATCTGAGTTTATCTTACTAATCTGGAAGAATAATCGGCATATCTCTAACAAACCCGCCTTAAACTGCCCTAACTAAACCCGCATATCTCAGACAAAACGTTTTCTGGGCCAGGAGCAATCAACAATGAAAAGTACCAGCATGCGCACGTTACTTCATCGGCCTGATCTCAACTCTTGGGTACAAGACGTGAACTCGGCTGTTTGGAATGATGGTTTGCTGGTGTCCGACACAACTTTAGGTTATCACCAGCCGTTAGACTTCTGAATGTCTGCACCTATATGAAATGGCACACTAAAAAGTATCTTTTTTACGGCCGGTACCAGTCAACATATAGTTCACTTCAATTTACTTCCCTTGGTTTGATCCCGATTAAGGTGACTGAGCAAAATTTTCGCCTTTGAATGCTGCAGATCTTTTCAATTTCTCCATCAGTTGGTACGATTCACGGATGCTCTCTAAAGTGCGAATACCCCTCACAGGCAAGGGCGAATACTGATTTTGAATGAGAATATAATTGCTTTTGAGTAGCCTTAAACAATAAGGAGGGGATTTCGGGACCGAGAATGTGTTAAAGGAAAGCAGTTGTTCCAGGATTACGGTAAAACATGTTTTGCACAAACAATCTAACCGTTTCCAAGATGTTTACTGTTCCCTGTTCGTACGATAATCGGTAGTCTCAGATCTCGGAACCACACACTGGTGAGTCCGAAGCAGGACGAAATCAGTCGTGAGATGTTTTCATATTCTGAAGAATTGTTCGCTGCTGCTTGCCCACCTTTCATCTGCTCCGCGCAGAAAACACCGTGCAATGTCATTGAAGCCTAGAGTTGACTGACCGTGAGCTACGTCCTCTCTTTCATGGCCGCTGTTAGGCATCATGTTTTCCTTAAAGTACTTATTATTATATATAAGTCTCCCTTGAAAATAGAAAGAACCTTAGCCGGGTTTGTACAAAAAGAAGATGAGTAAGGATATTTCCGAGAAATAAATATATAAAATTCTGTGCCAAGCAAATCGCTTACCTCCGAGGAAAGTTCACAAGCTTTCTGGAATTCCTCCTCTCCACAAACGGACAACAAAGACGTCTTTTCGCCTTTCATTTTGTCCACAAACCGCATAATCACATCCGATTCAACAATCGTCTTCCCATCATTGGTAAGAAAGACCGGAACTTTTCCAGTCGGACTAATTTCCAAAAACCAGTCAGGTTTGGCATCCAGTGCAATATGGATTGAATCAAACCTAAAGCATAAGAGAAAAGAAGAAGCTTGTAACTATGATTCGTCATGGCTGATATACTCTACCAGTCAGGTTCGGTTCAAGCTTCTCCGGATAAATCTTAGTAGCATCACGTAGTGGCAGTCGGCGTGAAGAAAAGCAAGCCAGTGAATTCCGCACCCCCTGACAAACTTTTGAATATGTAATGTTGACGAGTCTATACAAGAATAAAAGTCGAGTACGGCGTCCGGTCTTCTGACGTGACCTCAACAGAATAATCTTCTCGGACGCATGCCGAATGGCTATTCTGGACTGAAGCTCAAACGGATCGGCTGAATCAGGTTAGTTGAGTATTGGATATCATTTCACTTGCCGAACAAGTTAGACCGGCAAGCTGATAAATCACACAATACAAATTGCTAGGCGTAATTCGTTTGGTTCCCTTCTAGATTTTGCGAAACAAATAATTGGAAAGACGGAACATGACTCATGAACCTTCACATTATTTCAATGCATAGCACGAAACCCAGACCTTTCGAGAGCAAAGTTTGAGCGACCTTCAAGGTTATTGCCTAGGTGAAAAAGCCTGATTCTGATAGAATGAGTAAGATTGAAATACCATGGTCCTAATATGCTTCACTGCACAATATTGCTCACTCAGTGCTAATCATGCTAGACAAGAATTGCCATTAACGTACTCGATCCCATGATATTGCAGAGTGTAGCGTACGCGTTCCACAAAAGGGCAAATTCGATTGCCAAACAGAGTATAGTGGTTCGGGTTGATATCCGGTTTCGGGTCTCCTGAAACAAAAACCAAATATCAAGGTGAGGAAAACTAATTTTCTTGGCCTAAGTAGTCTACATCTTAAGGAAAACCGTGATATTTCGAGGTTCCCTTGAGGGTAACCGCGGAAAATGGCCATTTTTGCAAATGCGATAACTTATGATAACCCCATAATACAGCCAACTTGAGTGCGAGCTGTTTTAGTATTCACTTAAAAAATCACTGTTTCTGATTGATTTAGATCTGAGCCTCGTGAATTGCGTTCGCGTCACTGTATCATTCTGGTCCACTCCTCGAAGACACCTCATGTTCTCACTTCCAAAATTGTGGTCGCCAGCTCTTGAGTGTGCTTTTCAACCTCGTGCGCAAGCTCCCCATTAGGTATATGGCCTTATACAGGGTAACCTTTTTGCACCTTAATAAAAAGCTCTTCAAACGGCTAACTGATCGTCGGATATTGTAATGCATTCTTCGTCGGATGCACAAAACAAAGAATTTCGGTTGCATGAGAGAGGTTAAACCAAGAACTCCAAAGCGTTCATATCCCGTTATAACAGCTCATGTATTCATGATCTTTTAGCCGCCCCATATCGTTCACACTGGTAAGTTGATTCTTCTTGGGGCTCTTCTGCAGCTGGCTACTATTTCTTACCAAGTGCTTTACTTGGTCAGTTATTCTCCGTCGTTTCTGACGAAATTCTCACAAAGCAAGCCTTTATGTAACGCTTCTAGCGAGCATGTGATAGTGATTGATGTTACTCTTTTTGACGGTTGCAAAAAAAACCTAGTGGAGTGTCCTCCGCTTCTGGTTTTGCCTGTCACCGTTGGGAGCCTTGCGAACCTTTGGTGACTGTGGATTAAGTTGTACAGCCTATACACCCTAGGGAAAATACCAAAAGGTGACAAGGAGGGGACACTTCTAAATCCATCGATATACCCAAGTGAAAACCCTTGGTAATCAAAGCCTGTTGGGACAACAAAGCAGTCCAAACACACAGATTGTTCGAAAGATGGGCTGATGGCCTACACTACTTATAAGATGCACTAAAAACACACATGGGGCCAGCTAATGCTACGCAGTAATTAGCTTGGTCCGATGGTGACGCGAAGGTGCTTCTGGTAAAAATATAAAAACCGCCTAGCTGTAACATCGTTCCGGTGCCTAGGTGCCATGTTACCCGAAGGAAACACGAGGGCTGGAATACTGTCAGGTTGCCCAAGCCTAGACAGGGGAAGTCGAGAAGGCAGAGATCGGGTTCGAACCACGGACCTTCCGGTCAGTACGATCTACTACCATCTTAGGCTTGGCACCACAGACATCAAGACAGGTAATCTGTGGGTATATACACACGACCGACAAATGGAAAACCATCAGGCAAACCAAAAAGGCAGCAAAGAAAGCCAACCAGAGAACATGAAACACATAAGCTCCTGCAAAAATACGTACAATCACAGCAGTAGCCAGGTTTCATAGGTACTCAAACACAAAAGGTGGTCAACTAGCTTGCGTTCTAGTTAACACAGCTGTTTATAGAAGGACACTACTGACCTTGTCGCAAATGCTTGGAAAAGGTTGGCATTGTATCCGCTGAAATGAGGAATGAATTAGAGCATTATTACACACTGGTCATAATTAATTACATAGATTATCCAATGTCGTTGGTGACCATCGGGCGAAATTTGGCAGAAATGCCAAGTAACGAGCTCCAATCAAGGGCCACATGCCAAAAAATCGCTATCCGGAAGGTAATCTAAGGACATCCTTATCTGTCCAACTGGATACTTATGTGATGCGCCGAGGAAGTTCGACTGATTGTAACAGTCATGATAGCTCCGACTTACAAGTCCACATAACCGTTTTCTTGATATTCAAATTCTCGCTACTCGAACTGAGTTCTCGTCCTTTGGTTGGAGCCAGTCTATGCTGAAAAGCCGAGAAGTGCCTCGATGATGTTTCATCCTTGTTAGGAATCATGAGCAGTGCGTATCTCATAGAAAATCCGGACAGTTTCGACCCCGTGGGGAAGTGAAATGGAGGAGGTCATTTGGAGGGGAAAGATCGTTTGTTGCAGACTTGCTAGGAATTGTATTGGCCCACCTTCCAATAGAATCCATCAGTAGGACTTGGTCACCTTTAGCGCAGTCCTTCATTGTGTTATGCGGTCGCCACAGCGAATCCGCATCACTGGCGCATGTAACCAGCACATCTTGTAGTTGGCCCCAATTCATACTCAACATAACACACACTGCAGCACCTCATTTGCTCCGCATCCAGGTATAGAGTAGATTTATTAGTTTCTTACTATGTTGTTTCGTCTGTGGGTGATAATGATGTATCCTTGCCTCATGAAGGATACTACTCGCAAGGTTGCTGAAAACTCTTCGACAGCCCACGACCGATTTTGCCCTTCTTGGGGCTCATCAGGTAAGTATCCTTGCCTCATTCGTCATAACAGGTCATCTACAGATGTCCTTTCCTGTCCGTAATCAGCTTTCTTGGCATTCAGAGTAGAAACTCTGTGAATGTAAATTTAGAGGTTTTGATGCCTCAAGTGAGCCTGCACTGGAACTCAGTTAAGCGTACCAGTCAAACGTTAAAAAACTCTCCAGATGAGTAAATGACTGGAGACTGAGTCCCATTAACAATGACTTTTCTTTCGTCTGTATACTGTGAAACATGATTCTTTTCTTAAAGATTTGAAGAAGTAATTCTTCGTGAATAGTGCGATCTATCATGGTCAAAACGGCTATTCTTCCGAGTGAGGTACAACTCTCTCTGATATCGGGCAAGTGCAATCTAAGTTGTGCACACACAAAATGCACAGTCGGCTTGATACTGAACGGTCAGAAATTCCGTGTGCACCCAGGAATTCCGTCTTGTAGTTTTCCCGATCTTGATACGACAAACCTGAAACAGAAACCGAAAGTACTTGCTAAGGAAAAAGATACACACTCCTATGTTAAGACTGTTTGGAATAATCTTTTAAAAAACAGTATTTTCAGAGTACATTGCAGCATTCATTGTATTCATTGCAGCACTCAAGCCCAACCACCAAGTCAAGGTGGCAGCTTTGGGTCGGGTGATGAGTTTCAGAGTTCTCTGATTTGAAACGACACTGACACGACCAAGATAACTTATACATTCAAACTAGATTACCCCATCAAGTTCTATCCGACGTTTTTCATAATCAGTAAAGAAAGTGTCGACCCAAAGGCTGCATTTCAGCTGGTGTTGAAAGTACTCTTTCTAAAGATCATACCTGAGTTGGCTGCAAATCATTGCACTGTCGTATTCTGACACGTCTTCGTTGTCGTAAACTGCTGCGTTTTTTAGGTCTACCTAATGGGGGCTATACCCTGCATTTACAGCGCTTGTCATGCTGATGGCTCTTTCTTTTTTCTCATTCGAAGTAGCCATCCTCGATACAAGTTGCATCTGTTGACAGTGTGATATATCAAACATCAACCTTGAATGAGGAACATACTAGCTCTGACTCTTGGAATCTGCACGTCAGTTTTGTAATGCATGTAAGTGAATGTTTACATTCGGTCCCGAGGCTGTTCACTTTAAAGACGATGATATAAGTGTTTGTGTAGAAAACGGCCTTCAGCTGAGTGAGTCTGATTTTGTCAGATAAGACAACCTTGATGTCACTCTATGCCTTCATATTCATGGACCGAATAGGTTGATTTGGATCTCTTCCACCTCAGACAATCACCATATCAGAGTAATTAGGGACTGTGGAGTGTGTGTAGTTGAACTATGGTTTATTCTGTGTAAGTGTAGCCACTGATTTCCTTTCCTCGTTTGCGTTATACACTTGCCGACGATCTAGCAGCGACATCACACCCAACCACGGTGATTCAGTTTCAGAATGCCGGAAGCATGGCGTTGAATACTAAAACACTGGCCGGCGTATTGCCCGAAGGGTCAGCCGACGAACAAAAGATGGCAAGCTTCGATAAGGGTAAAACGCCTTCTTCGGTTCGATCATCACACAGACCCATATCACAGCTCTTGAGAACTACTCAGTGCGTGCCATTTCAACTGAAACGAACAGCTTAATGAACTACAGATGCTCCAGTTTCTAAAACAGCCCTCACTTGGATGAAGATAAATGACAAGATCGCTGGCTTCTGATAGGAATTGCTTTTGTTTCATCGGCAATTATGATTTTATATATACTACTTTGCTTTTAGGATAGAGTTACTCCCCAGCTATGGGTTCTGAATGGATAACAGTGTTTATAGGACTTTCCATAATCTGTGTAGTGAAGTCGTGTGTTAGGACTGCCTCCCAGTATGTGGTACGAAACCAACTAACGCACAAATATCTACCAAGACATCGTCTCTAAGTATATGTTCTAGTCAGCCGCAACACGCGATCCAAGTAAAAGAGGGATGGGTCGGCGTTTGTTCGTTGACAAGTACTGCGTGTGTGTTAATATGCGCGCTGCTATCCAGGGCTGACCTCCAATCATGATTGGTTGTTCGGTCGGACGGTTCCATTAGTTGCTCCGTTATCTTATGTCCTGATTTACTGATGACCACGTGACCTTTGACCTTAGCCTCCCATACTCTCGTACTCTGGTCGATGTTGGATTGACCTTTGTCCTTGTCTCCTCTGGGTTAAAGTTTGTGACCATTTTTTGATCTGACTCTAGTCAGTCATTTAAGAAGGACCTCTATGACCTCTGTGAATAAGGTCTCCGACAGCTTCTTCATTAGACTTATTGTTTTATTAATGAAGTTTAGCACGACGTAGGTTTGAAATCGAAAAAACTCTCATAATAGAGAATAAGCTGCTTTATTACTGCGAAGCCAAGATCCGTCCACAATCCTTTCATGTCACACATCAAGAAAAAACTAACCCTGTCCATAAACCAGTCTGTGCATATTATCCTCAAGGTTTCAAACAATGATTTGAACTTTTCACCCTGTACTCTATCCACTGCAAGCATTACCCTCCCACTGGGTTACAAGTGTCTTCATTTCAATGACCATTTCCCTACGCATTCAGAACCATGCACATTCTATATTACTGTACCAGCTCTATTAAATTTTCGTTCATTTGTATTATAACACCTAGGTAGCCGCATTTTCTCAATCCACTAAAGGAGAAACGTATCAAAATGCATTTTCGTAATCATTTATCTTCAAAGGATGCAGGCTTGACCGTTACTAAGTCAAACACGAGACAAATGGATCTTCTACCAACATTTACTGACCAAATCGTTCAGCCGTAGGGCCCTTTCAGTGCCCAGCTGCCATGCCACCCGAAGGAAACACGAGGGCTCAGATACTGTCAGGGTGCTCAAGGACAGGGGAACTCGAGAAGGCAGAGGTCGGGTTCGAACCACGGACCTTCCGGTCAGTAAATTCGCGCTCTAACCACTTGAGCCATCTCGCCCAAACAAAAGTGGGGCTTTCCTTAAGTCTCAAAAAGTACTATACACATCGAGTCATTTTATCAATGAGATTTCGCCCAAGATTGCTCATTCCTAAGAAGGAAACTAACACGCCAATAGGCAAAACAATTCCATTTTTACGGAAACCTCAGCTGAATCCTAGTTGAAGCGCTCATAAGCCTGACGCTCAGGCGGGATTCATTCGGGTCTCACGTTAACGAAAATTTTATTTGCTAATGAGTACCTTTCGCCTTCTACTTACGTTCTGGCGCTCAAGTAGAACATAAGTTTGACGGAAGCATCGGGATTGGGCCTAACAGATGATCGCCAAAAACGGCAAAATCGGTTTTGTTCAACATTCCCAGCAACCGTCAAGAAAGCCAAGACATCGAGAAATACACCCATTTGCAAATCAATTTGGTTTTCACGAGAGACTCAACCGAATCTCTCATTTAAGATATTCTACAACTGAATGTGCTGCACACAGGCCGCTTCATGATTCAGTTGGCACGTGTGAAATAGACTCACGGGGAGCGATCAAATGGAAATTCTTTCTTCTTCCCAAAAAGTCTTAAACTGAGCAATTTTGGAAAATGTTGGATAATGAGCTTGTTACATTGCAAACTGGATGACGCGTTCAGCGGATTGTTTCTCAGACGTAACGAAATTCAGCGTCTGTTACTACCACATTATCAGACCACGCCCAAAAAACGTGCTGAGAAAGTAGAAATATTGACTTGACAGCTGCCTGGGGTCAAAACTTTCTAATTAGTTCATCACATGAGCCTGTAAAAGTAATCAACTCTACCAGCGCCTTACATAAGTTTTTTATGAACCCCAGATGGAACGTGAGAAGCATGAGGAATTTGATTTCTTCCGACTGACAAGGATTCTGAAAGTATTGATTGTATATATGGTTGAAAGACTGTGAAATAGAGACATTTGCTTGTTGCAAACTTTATAGACCATTTTGAACTCTTCCGTCTAGTCATAATTGAATTCAGGTTAGATATCTCTCTTACCTGTCTGGTTTTGAGACCATAAGGGGTAAACAGATGGCCAATAGGTACGTAATTCCCTCGCTTTCTATAAACGAAACAGTAGCCCATTCCAAGGTGTTTGTCTAAAAAGTAGGCCCATGGTAATATATATATATATATATATATTACTAGGTTTGCGACCTATTTGGGGCAATGCCACATCCCACCGAGCCATCAAGTACGTTTTCACAGCTTTAATTTCATCAACCAATGATTGAATGGTAGCCAATTCCTAAAATTCGGAGAAAAACGATAGCTGGCTTCATCTTGGTTCTTTTTTAAGTAGTCTGTACATATACTGTCCTTACAATAAAGAAGCCTTGGCACTTTGAACATACACTTCCATTAAAGAGCCTGCAGCTATTTACACGTGTGTGCAAAACACTGATCGGGTGAGATAAGCGCAATTGTTGGTTTTCCTCTTAATCACAAAGAATGTTGCTAAAATCCGCTAATACGACTTGATCGGGACATTATTTATCTTCTATTGTGTACGCAAGAGAAAGTACAGAACCAAGAGAAGATGGAGGAACAGAGAGAAAAATTAATGGAACTGGCTTACAAATTTCAAGATACTGTCTCCAAAAAACGGAAACCATATGTAGCGCCGTCAGATAGATTGGGGCCAGTGATAACCCAGACATAGGTGCCAGATTGCGTTTCACACATCGGTAAACTGACCCCCCTCAATAAACCCTAAGTTCACTATCTGTTCGGCTCTTATGACTCACAAACAACTCCAAGGATTTATCGCATAGCCTTGATCCACTGAGCAAACGGACGGTTAACGGTCCGTTAGTCTTGTTATGTTACCTAGAGTGGTTCGCGTAGGTGATATCCAAATGGACAGCCCCCAAGTTAATCGCAAAGCTATAGAAAGTGGACGACAGGAACTCATCAGAGCTTTGGACTAAGAAAAGCTATCGGAACACCTTACCGCCTTTCGGAGTGCTCCAAGACAAACAAAGTATCCATTAGTACGGTATCAGAACTGAATAAGAGGTTATGTAGTAGATAGTAGTTTAACTGTAACACCCTTTCGGTGCCTAACTGTCATGTCATCCGAAGGAAGCAGGAGGGCTCTGATACGGCTAGGTTGCCCAAACCTAGATAGGGGGAGTCGAGAAGGCAGAGATCGGACTCGAACCATGGACCTTTCGGTCAACCCTAACCACTGAGCCATCTCGCCATGTCTTCTCAAACTTGATCTGGGCATCCAGAGATTAATCTTATGCGATTCTTCCCCAGTCACCTAGTGTATAGCTCTCTCAAGTTTCCAAAGAAATGGTTGCTGAAGTTGAAAGTGCTTTAAAATGCTTCAGAGTGTAAATGGAGGTTTGGTTATATACTGGGAGAGAAGGTAAGATGTTCCGTTCGATCGTGCACGATATTGGCTAACGAGTTTCGTTCAGGGTCTAAGCTTACAGACCAAATTAGATGTTTTCACGTTTTACTCAGACATAATCTTAGCGTGCGCGTCAGCGCTTGTAAAGCCTAAGTCAATTCGTGTTCTGGCCGGTTATCGGCCAGTCAGTCTTTTGCACTTACCGTTTTGCTGTTGTTCTACTTAACACAGTGAAGAGGCCTCTAAAGCCGATCAACTATATGGCCACTGCATATTCTTATCCAATAAAGTGTACATCAAAGTAGAACAGCATATCTAAAAAGAAACTTTACCCGATTTTCCTGCAAAAAACTCCTGTGGTAAGTAAAGTCGGATTCACACTTAAATGTTTGTCATGATATCCGCATCTACTGATAGGCTTCAAGATGACTGCGGGTTTCTAGTGCACCAAGTTCCCTATTTTGTATGAAAGAAATCGTTCAGCTGTAACACCCTTCCGGTGCCTAACTGCCATGCCACCCGAAGGGAGCACGAGGGCTGAGATACTGTCAGGTTGCCCGAGCCCAAACAGGGGAAGTCGAGAGATAGAGGTCGGGTTCGAACCACGGACCTTCCGGTCAGTAAATTCGCGTTCTGGCCACTTGAGCTACCTCGCTCATCATGCGTTCGACGGATTTATGGCCGAGCTATATTAATATTTTGTATGAATATAGCTCGGCCATAAATCAGTCAAACGCACGAAAATATGAAATTCTAGGTTTCCAGGAGTTTCTCCTTAAAACTGGTGATTTTACGGAACAGAATCACGTTCAGTACCAGACCCGTTACCTTGTACACAGTTGAAAATAGATCTTAGGAACTGCTGCACATAAACGATTCAATACTAAGTGATGTGATATTAATCAGCAGAAGCAAAATTACGGGAATAAAGTCATGATGCAACTCACCGCCAATGTTCAGACCTTCACCCCTATGACAAGGGGTTACATGTGTCATTGGACACAGTGAGGAAGTCCCGAAAATCAGAGATAATAGGAGCTGCTGTTCGGAAAGTTCGGTTCGCCATAAAACCGTTGACCAACACTTTGAACTAAGTCTTCAAAAACAGCTAAATTTTGACTCTGAAACAAAAATCTGCTATGTTTTCCTATGCTAACGTTCAGAAGATCCTTGACCGTACTCGTTTATGGCAGTTGGGTTGTTCGCGTCCCGCCATCTGTATAAAATATGGATCCGTTCAAACATAAGGCTGTCGTCATATAGTTTCTCGTTATCCTCATTAATATTTGTTGTCCTGTTGTTCCATTCTGTCTTCTCTGTTGGGGAATTGGACGCATCTCCGCCATTCAGGATGTCAGCTTTGTCTATCGCTTCTATTGCTCCCTCTTAACCCCCGGGCTAATTTTTTCTTCAAATAACCTGTGTGCGTCCAGTAATGCTTCGTTGGCCTGGATGTAGAACCGACGTGATCGAAACCTGTAGGGGAGAGTGAGACAAAATGTTTTTCTGATTCTCTGGTACCCATTGCTTGCATTTGGCGGCTTGTCAAACGCATAGCCCTTCAGACAGTTTTTGTCAGACTATCAATCCACAACCTACAGTTGCACACCGTCTGATATCTGATAGGTTTGACTCAACCTGCAACTTAACGCGTTAACTGGATGCGCTGGATGCGCTGGTCTCTCTGGTTCGATGATGTAGTTGAAAGGCTAACATCAGCTGTTTGGCCTGACAGTCGGTCAGTATGTCTAACTGGCGATGGTCACACTGACATGACCGCCAATAGGCGTCCGTGCGCGAAACAATGGCGAAGCAGCGATCGGTGATTGGCCAATTTTTCGTCATGGCTAGTCTAGCCCGTCAGTGCACTTGTGCGCTGTAGCTGACACCTTGCTTTGTCGATGAGCCTCCACCCGCACACAGGTTGCACCGTTTGTTACATAGGCTGGTAAAATTAAAGTAAACATTGCCCTTTTCAAGAAGAATGACTCCGACTGACAAATTCGGCCTATGTAGACAATAAACGAGAAGGTCAAATTAGATTGTGACGTTTTTCCGGACCGCAGATGGTGACTGCCCCTCAGAAACTATTCATTTTTAGGTGGGGTCACATCCATTCAAATGGAGGTCGGATAAAAACTGAAAAGGTCAAATTGCTTTCCAGTTGATGTCTCTTGTCTACTGACATTCCTAAGAACGCCCTTCCTCAGTGAAGCAGTTGAGAGAAGTGAGACCGTCCTTCGTAACACACCATTCCGTCGATGTACAGGTGTGGGACTAGCAGACAGAATTGCCTTATTGGGGAGCATTCACTCGAATGATTCATAAAGACCGCAAAAGTATCTGTTTAACTGAACAGTGAGTCACGATGTCTAAGGGCTGAGCACCGTACTCAGTTTGAATGTTACAGACGGTGACTGTCCTTGTTCAACAGTACTGTATTCAGGTCTTGAACGTGGAATCCAGGATATTCGAAGAGGTTGCCTAATAGATAGATGAACTTCCGAATGAAGTTCCAGTGATGCTTTAAAACAAGGGAGACTTGCTGATAGGCCAACCGAGAAGTAAGACTAAAAAGTACCTTTGAAAGCGATAAGCCACTACGTTTTCTTACCAGTCTTGGCGTCATATATTAGTGAAGTCTCTTCGTTCAGTGATAACTGGGAAACTATGTGAGTGAATGTCTTTTCATGGTTCATTAAGACCGAAGTCTTTCGTTCACACCCTGATCCAATTTTTCTTACCATCTTGGCGTCATATATTAGTGAAGTCTCTTCGTTCAGTGATAACTGGGAAACTATGTGAGTGAATGTCTTTTCATGGTTCATTAACACCGAAGTCTTTCGTTCACACACTGATCCAATTCTCACTTACATATACCGCTGGCTTCAACCACAGTGTTCTTGACTCGTGTGCAGTGAACATGAACCAAGCAACTAGGCCGATTGCTAGTGTACCCTCCATGGATCCACTATTACTAGGCTTCTGCCTGGCCGACATTGGCTTTGTTCCTTCTTTACCGGGAGCAGGAAAAATATTTACAGCAGAGATGGTATTCATAATTACTAAGAGAATCAGACGTCGGTAATCTAATATCTGAATTGCTGGACCAAAGTAATCTGCCTTATTTCGATAGCCAAGTCAGGCTCTGGCCTAAAGGTTCAGGTCAACATTCTAGCCCTCTTGATTTTCGCGGCAAAAGACTCAACCAGTGTGTTAGTGCCGTCCACCTAATGCAAGTTTCTATCAACTAAAGGCCAGATGGTCACAGGCCATGGTAGACCTTGTTAAGTGTGAATTTCCGACATTTTGTGCAAAACAAATGCTCAATCCATCGAGACTTTACACAGATCTTCCAGTAATTTCGTTGTTGGGCAGATCCAGAAGGAACCCATTCAAACGCACTGAGATAAGAAGATTTTTGTCGGACATATAGTGATGACAGGAAAAACGGTCACAAGCAGACCTTTTCGAGTACCTATCGTGCGTACGCTTTAGGTTTGCACCACTTAGCACAAAATTATCGTGCCGTCACATAGTTGTGCGCTGCACAATCAAAGCCAGTGTAACCGTAGCCCATTATGGAATATCGTTCGAGTGTGACCTGGGCCGTCCGGCTTGTTACAAAAGTAGACTAGCAGTCTGCTGATTCTAACTGCTTGGCTGTTCAGTAGAGATTTTATCAGGAAGGTCAGATTCCTGAAAGTAACCTCAGAACTCCCGGAATCTACTGCTCCACCAAAATCTCAACAGGAAAGCCGGAAAGCATCCAGGCTAGTCAATCATTCGATCATTTCAGCAAAACCTGATGAGTGTTCTTGCACGCCACAGAAGCACGACCGAATGTGATCAGCGTTCAGGCATTTCGTAGAGGCACGTCCGATGTTGACGGGTGTTCACCAACGCCTATCAAACAGCCTGTCAGAAAGTCCCCTTTAAATAGCGTGGGGCCGTTGTAACTTTTGCTCTCGCACTCGCTTGTTCGGAATATAGCTGTTGCGTTCCTTTCTGTGAGTCTTCTTCAGGCACTGGGCACTGTAATGGGTCAGCAGCAGATACCACAGATTGGCGAACCAGCAGATATAGCAGATTTTGTTATGTCAGCGAAGCCAATCTGCGCTGGAAAACCGGAAGGCACTGTGCAGCTGTTTCATCCTTACTGAAAACCATCAGCCATGCTTAACTCACAAAACTCAGAGTTTCGAACACGAGAACTTCCGATCAGGGGCTGAACAGTTAACCATTGTACCAGCTGATCAGCAGTGTGATTGACTGTCACTTGCATGCACAAGACGCTCCTTCAATCACGGAAACCATATCATGTGGTCACGTGTTGACCTGAGTGTCTCTTCTAATTAGTATAAAATTTTTACTGGGTATCTTGGGAACAGAGAGTTGTGAAACAACTGATCACATTACTGTCAGCCTACTCTTCTCAAGTTTTAAGCTCCCTGTTTTGAAACGAACACGGCAACAATAACAACGGATGTTCTGTGGTTTTTGTGCATGGTAAATTGTCAGTGAGTGAGTACTTCGTGTCCAGAACAATTACTGTTGAGGTATCATCCCGCAAAGGTAAAAGTGATATGAGTGACGCAATGGTACAGTGTAGATTCCAGACCTGAACTTTCGGGAAGACCGGGAAGTGTAAAACATGTGCATGATATGATTTACACTTCTTAGCTCCAGATCTTGTTCGGCAGGTTACCAAGGTTTCCAGTAGTTTAGCCCAGATTCGTCTGAGACCCTCAAGGGACAGCGCCCGCCATGCTTATCCCAAGGACACTGGGTTCACGTGTCGGTAGATGCTGTTGAAGTCGTGCGACAAACAACCTTTGAGTTCCACGCACCGTACATAGTGAAATAATGAACCACGCTATGCCGAACTTGCCTTATGGGTTGATACTTTTGATCCCACTAAAATTGACTCGTGAAGATGACCAGCCACGCCACAGTTCATTGATGCATGTTACTACTGATTGGTCAATGTAAACAGATAGTTAGTTTTTTAAGCGTCTGTGTATCGGAGAAGTTAGGCTCTGACGGTCGAATAAAAAAGACACTCATAATCTTGCAACCAACTCATCATTGCATGCAAGTTTATAAACAATGACACTTGATATGGTCCGTATTCAACCCTAGATTGAAAAAATACAGCTTCGCGCACTTCAAAATGAGCTTACGCGTGATGCTTCACGAGAAGAAATGAAGAACTAGAAGAACTTGAACCCGAAGGTCCTGAGACTGAAGGATAATCTTGCTATCCACCGGTTATTGATAATTTTCACTGCTTCGATTCCCACCAGGTGGAAGGGATGACTACAGGTCACAAGCCCAAGATTGACCAAATAAAAATCACCTGCTCTAAAATCCTAATGTCAAAAGAAGTTTGGAATAGTCTCCATGCTTGTGTGAATTTTATGCAGATTAAACCGAGCCATCAATCTTACCAACTGAAACATTCGTGAATCTCCCGAAGTATGGAAATAACAAGGATATATGTGAACAGGTTATACGCAAACACACCAGTCATGTCGACAGGCACAGGCTTCAACAAGCTTTTTGGGATTTATAAAGTGAACTGAATCACACGGTTGGGGAGGAAGCAAGGGTTCACGTAGGTTCCTAATCTCCTCGTTCAACCGAAGGTAGCTTGCCTGAAAAATAATTCGTCTCCCTTGGCAAATAGTTCATATAAGCAAATTACTTGAGTAAGTTGGGTGCCATAGTCCTGTTCTGACGATCGATTTTTAATTTTCATCTATAAACTCAGGTTTCAATTGGATATACATGTGAAGCAGTCACATGTTCTAATCCTCAGACAAGGCAACGTCGGTGTTGGCACTGCCGTACCATCACAAAGTTTATTTAGCTGTGCTTAAAGCCTAAAAGTGAAAAAAAGATAGGCGTGGATTGGGAAGGGACCTGGTACTAACCCAACCCAAACATTCTGAAGTACCTGCATATTCAGGCGCTTAGGCAGACAACCTGGAAAGAAACCGACAGCACGACCGCCACTGATATCGACTAGCCTTTGTTTCTTGCAGTCTAACCCGGTAAAGGAGGGGACGTGGACCCCATCCTGGAAGGTGAACCGTACCGAAAAACCCCAACTTTTCGTAATCTCTTTTACATCCTTCTGTGGAGTCACACATTGTCCACATCGCAGTTTGTGCCATTTCGAATGTAGCACAGAGACCAGTACAAGCATCGATAGACAGTGTTTCCGTATGCAAGCCACGGCATCTGGTGGTGCTGGATGTTTTCTCATCATCATCATCATCATCATCATGCCATTTCGTAGCACAGAGACCAGTACAAGCATCGATAGACAGTGTTTCCGCATGCAAGCCACGGCATCTGGTGGTGCTGGATGTTTTCTTTCTCTCATCATCATCATCATCATCATTGTCAGCTGTAATAACCGCGTACTCGTCGTACAGTGGTTGCAGCTGCCGCAGTTTCGTTCACCGATG